GAATGAAGAATAAGATTTCAACCTTTGTTTTGTTTTGTTTTTAAATGTATAACTTAATATTTTAAGTCAGTTTAATTGATGTAAATTATGACAACTAGAAAAGTTAAGCTGATTCAACAAAAACATTTAAGACTTTTCAAACGTGTATTGTGCGAGTTTGTCAATGAGCGTTTGAGTTCACCTGTTTGTTGTCGGTCAGCCTCTGATCTTTCACCCCAACAGATAAAACTCTTGACACTGGCATGTGATTGGCTGTCCTTGATCTTCTCCTCTTCTTCTTCTTCTACTCTGATTGGTCGGTTGTGTTTTCTGTAAGGGATGACATGCATCATCATTAGACATCAACCAATGATCAACTAAAGCAAACAAATGCCTGATGTTTGCTGAACGGATGAGGTCACTGGCGATGTGACATATTTACGACCGGTCCACATGCCATGACATGCGGTCACATTGTAACATAATGCTGATAAACATTAACCAACAGCACTCTTATTGCAAACACAATTTTAACACGGTGACTCAGTGGTTAGCACTGTGGTCTTACAGCAAGAAGGTTCGAGTCCCCATCTCTGGCATTTCTGTGTGGAGTTTGCATACACTTCCAGTGTTGGTGTGGGTTTCCTCCGGGTGCTCCGGTTTCCCCCACAGTCCAAACACATGCGCTTTAGGGGAATTGGGTAAACTAAATTAGCTGTAGTGTATGAGTGTGTGTGAGTTTGTATGGATGTTTCCCAGTACTGGGTTGCAACTGGAAGGGTATCCGCTGTGTAAAACTTATGCTGGATAAATTGGCGGTTCATTCCGCTGTGGTAACCCCTGATGAATAAAGGGGCTAAGTCGAAGGAAATTGAACAAATAAATGAATGACTTCACCCTAACATGTTCTTACTTTAGATTTTTTCGCTTTTTGCTGTGCTTATTTTGTTATAAAGCACATTTTTACACATTCAGTCAAACGCCAAAGGTGGGATGTTCCCTAACAGTGCACCATGCAATTTTGTGTTTAAAAGACGTCCAAACAAAGACGTCTTGGCTAAAACAAATCGAAATCTAATAGTCTAATAATTCTCCAAAAATAAACTCAGACTTCACATGTGTAGGCATTGAGTCCTATCTATTTGATGACAAGTCTATTTTTATAATAGAGTATTGTTAGACATCTAGATTTTGACAGACAGCCTAAATTTTGCCTCTAGATTACGCTTAATTTACCAAAATAAAATATGATCTTGCCTTGATTTTGATTTATTTAAGGTAAGGTCTGACTCTGCTTAGACAAAAGTCTTGTCACTGAACAGAAATAATGTCCAGTATAGAATATAAAGTCCTGCTGCAGTGGAGATAGAGTGAATATTTTGTCTGACTCCATCATGAGCTTGGAGGACTGCATCCACACATCTCTGCACTGACTCAAATCACTAATTAATAAAGTCATCTGGAATGGCAAAGAAAGCGTTCCTGCAAGACTCCCAGAGTTCATCAAGATTCTTTGGACTCATCTTCAATGCCTCCTCCTTCATCTTACCCCAGAAGTGCTCAATAATGTTCATGTCTGATGACTGGGCTGGCCAATCCTGGAGCAGCTTGACCTTCTTTGCTTTCAGGAGCTTTGATGTGGAGGCTGAAGTATTAGAAGCGCTATCCTGCTGGAGAGTTTGCCCTCTCCTGTGGTTTGTAATGTAATGGGTAGCACAAATGTCGATGTTGATGTTGCCATCTACTCTGCAGATCTCTCGCACACCTCCATACTGAATGTAACGCCAAACCATGATTTTTCCTTCACCAAACTTGACAGATTTCTATGTGAATCTTGGGTCCATGTGGGTTCCAGTAGGTCTTCTGCAGTATGTGAGATGATTGGGATGCAGATCAACAGATGATTCATCAGGAAAATCCACCTTCTGCCACTTTTCCAAATGATCAACTAGAAGTCCAGTTATTATTTGTTGCTCTTACAACTGGGATCGACGACGAGACTTTTGTCAGGTAGTGTATTTTTCATGTATTTCAGCCTTTTTATACTAAGTAAAAATTGAACAACAACAACAACAACAAACAACAACAACAACAAACAACAATAACAACAAACAACAACAAAAAAAACAATAATAACAACAACAACAAACAACAATAACAACAAACAACAAAAAAACAATAATAACAACAACAACAAACAACAACAACAACAAACAACAATAACAACAAACAAACAAACAAACAACAATAACAACAAACAACAAACAAACAACAATAAACAACAAAAACAAACAACAACAACAACAAAAACAACAAACAAACAACAATAACAACATTACCATACATACAGTTGAAGACTGATAAGCCCTACTGTAAAATTCTAATAATCTTTTAAATATTTACCAGAAGAAAGTCTTAATTTACAGCATACATTCTATATATTTCAGGAGAAAGTCTTATTTTAATTTGTTTAGGAAAATGGTCAAAACAAAACATTATTAGCCCCCTTAGCAAATTAGTTTTTGGATTGGCTACAGAACAAACCACTGTTGTCCTGTGACTAGCCTAATTACCCTAACTTGCCTAATTAACCTAATTGATCCAGTTAAGCCTTTAAGTGTCACTTTAAGCTGAATACTAGTATCTTGAAAAACTGTACTGTCATCATGGCACAAATAAAAGAAATCAGTTACTAGAAATGAGCTATTAAAACTATTATGTTTAGAAATGTGTTGAAAAAGATCCGTCCATTAAGAGGCACTTGTATATATTTGGCAAACAATTCAAATTTCACCGGAGGGCTAATTGTTTTGCCATATAATTAAAGAAACAGTAAAATTAAAAATGGATTCATAAATAATTGACAGATTCAGCTTAAATCATGTCTAAACAGACTAAGAGCGTCTGCTGAATAATTGTCAGTGTGACGGCACACACTTTGACAGATGTCCTATTTCCCCCGCCTCTACAAACCTATTAGACATTTTTAGACAGATCCAGGAATAATAACCAAACGAATGCTCTCTCTGGACCTTTCCACCCTTCAACACAACACTGCCGTTTCAGCCACATGCTTAGGCTTGAACGGCTGATATATTTGACCACTGACAGTTTCCTCTGTGGGGGTTTATTTGTTAAAGCCTCTCGGTGAGTTCAGTGCCAAACCGGTTCTCCTGTATTTGGAGATTGATCAAATATTTTACTCACACCAGCTGCTGGACTAGGAAAACCAGGATATGAGCTTATAGTCTGTTTTGACTGCTTATATATATATATATATATATATATATATATATATATATATATATATATATATATATATATATATATATATATATATATATATATAATTTTATTTTTTATTTTTTGGAAGATTAGTTGAAATTATACAAAAATAATGGCAAAACGTTTGGAAGAGCAATACAAATACAATAAATTACAATAAAAACGACTGACAATTAGGATCAATTTAGTTTCAGCAATAACAAAAAACAAACAAATAAAAAGAAATCGAAATGAATGTAGATAATTGTCACAATCAACGGCAATCTAGTCCATACAGATTTGCTGAAGAACTACAAATCCTGTCATGCACCACCCACTCACACCTGTTTCAGTTCTCCTTTGATTACACGCACACAGCTGGGAGCTGCTCAACGACTGATAACACAGACTATATATATAACACACACACACAAACACAGAGAGACTTTGCTGAGTCTTGTTCGGTTACCCTGCAACATTATGAATTGTTCGTCTAGTCTAGTCTTGTCTTTCTGTGTCTGACCCTTACTTTGTTCTCTCGTTTATGTTGTCTGCCGAATTTATCTACTATTTACCTGTGACCTGACTATGCTTCTGGATTTGCCTGTATGTACCTGTTTACCCCTGTGTTTAACCATTGCCTGCCGGACTACTGTGTCCTTAACTCTATTGTCCAGCGTCCTTAACAATAATATTTTAATAACCTATTTCAACTTAAATGTTGTACATGTAGAAACAAATATGTGAAATAGAAAATACTTTTTACAGACACATATACAGCGAAAAAGGTTCAAATCAAGGATAATATATAGTCACTGCACATGATTAGATTCATGCATGTGTTTTATCTTAATACACCAAGCATCAAGGATTGCAAATATGTTATTTTAAAAATTTGTATGTAAAGTTTTTCAATCATTTTATCACATTAATTTGCTTTCTGGAGTCCATTTAGCTAGTTATTTTAATCAAAAGTGTTTTCCACATATGAAACAAAAGAAAAACCTCTAATTGAATGAACATAATATTCCAATAACCCATTTAAACTTACGGTTTACACCTTTATAAAAAGGGCGGGGCAGTGGCGCATTAGGTAGTGCTGTCGCCTCACAGCAAGAAGGTCGCTGGTTCGAACCTCGGCTCAGTTGGCGTTTCTGTGTGGAGTTTGCATGTTCTCCCTGCCTTCGTGTGGGTTTCCTCCGAGTGCTCCGGCTTCCCCCACAGTCCAAAGACATGCGGTACAGGTGAATTGGGTAGGCTAAGTTGTCCGTAGTGTATGAGTGTGTGTGTGAATGTTTCCTAGAGATGGGTTGCGGCTGGAAGGGCATCCGCTGCCTAAAAACTTGCTGGATAAGTTGGCGGTTCATTCCGCTGTAGCGACCCAGGATTAATATTCAAATATTTTTCAGAAACTACATGATACTTAATTCAATAATCTAATTGAATAATCACGATTAAACAACTAAGAATACAGTAATTGAATAATTAAATGAGAAGTAATACTGCATAGTCTATGTTTATAATTAACTCAATATAATTAATAGTTATTATAGTTTATATTTCTTAGGCCTGAATGCTTTTAAAATCCTCATACAGTCACAGGCCTCAAAAACACATGCAAATGATCAATTATAATGCAGACTTAACATTGCATAACCTGCGAAATGGCTATTGTGAATGATAACATCGCGATATCGGTGCTAAAACGATATATTCTGCGGCCCTAATTGAGACCCAATTAAAAGTTGCCAATTATGTTGTTCAATAACTAATTTGCAACTCTACCTATTGGTTTGGTAAGTGTCTGGATTGCTCAAATCCCATTGCTGCTCCTCTCCAAAACATCCCACGCAACTTCCTTCATGGGTCCACAAACAGGCCCTGCGGTCCATGGACACGCTCAGAATGAAGAATCGAGACTCATACAGCAAGACCTCACTGCTCACTATCGCCCTCTCATGGCCACTCCAAGAGTGCAGCAGTGGAGGAAAACCAGCCGCAGACTAGGAGAAACAAGCCTGAAGTAATAAGTCATGCTGAATTTAGGTACCTTTCATCCTAAAGCGTACATTTCCATACCTCCATATCTCCATTGTTTAAGGCATACTGAGCGATGTCCCAGACTTTAATGCATCCTGTTGTGTCTCCAGTGACAAGTAGATTATTTTCTGGGTCTGTGCTGAAACCCGTCACATTCTCACCAGATTTATCAGGCACATAGAACTGTCCTGGATCACACATAAATGAATGTTATTTAGATATTGATTCATAAAAATATATATACAAATATGCCAAAAAAAAAAAAAAAGAAACAGTGACACTAATCCTAACATAAAAACCTTACAAATATATATTTATACAACACTTCTGTCTGGTTCTTAAATCTGATTGGCTGATAGCCGTGCAATATTTTGCCAGTAACAGCACACAAAGGCCTCTTCACCCTTCACCTTTGTGTATTACTCCACCCACATACAAGCAACAAGCAGAGGACGGTCTACAGTTTGACAAATATTACTGCTGTTGGACAACATAGTGCACTTTTGAGGCTTTTCTACTTGAGAATGTAGGTGTTTAGATTGCAACTACACAGTTTATTTAATAGAGTAGTGCCTATTTTAAAGGGCACCTATGGTGAAAAATTTTCCCAGTACTAGGTTGCGGCTGGAAGGGCATCAGCTGCGTAAAACATATGCTGGAATAGTTGGCGGTTCATTCCGCAGTGGCGACCTCTGATAAATCAGAGACTAAGCTGAATGAAAATGAATGAATGAATGATGTTTTACAGTATTACTGTTTTGTTGTGCTTTTAATAAAGTAAATGCAGTCTTGGTAAACATAGTAAACACAATTGGTAAACACAATCTTCTTAAAAAAAAAAAACTTAATTATTTTAACTTGTGCATACATATTATGGTTTCTGAAGTAGGGTGCAATTTAAAAGGTCTACATGACGGTGTTTGTATGGTGTCAAGTTGTCATCAGTTGCTCTCAGTTATTATGTTTACCGTGGTTATGTCTGGGCCCGCAGACGCTCCAGCAGCAGACAAACCCAGCCTGTGAACTGAGCAGCACAGCAGCTTTCCTCAGATGACTCTGCTGAGCGCGGCTCTGCAGGAACAGCAGCCGGTGGACAGGCAGATGAACTCTGCACACATTTCAACAATTTATTCACATCCACAAAAAAAGAAATATTTTTCAAGAACATAAATAACATTACAGACCATCGGCACAGAAAAAAAACTCTTTTAATAGTAGACAATAAATTAAAAATAATGATATAAATAATTAAAAATGAATGACAAGAAACACACACACACACACACACACACACACTTTCATACTTCCATTCATTTCCCTTTAGCTTAGTCCCTTATTTATCAGGGGTCACCACAGCGGAATGAACCGCCAACTATTCCAGCATGTTTTATGCAGCGGATGCCTTTCCAGCTGCAACTCAGTGCTAGGAAACACCCACACACACACACACTCACATACGGACAATATAGTTCATTCAATTCCCCTATAGCGCATGTGTTTGGACTGTGGGGGAAACCGGAGCACCCGGAGGAAACCCACAGCAACACGGGCAGAACATGCAAACTCCACACAGAAATGCCAACTGACCCAAATGGAATTCGAACCAGCGACCTTCTTGCTGTGGGGTTTGTCACATTCAATTCCTATTTGTAATGAGTATGTTTTGTTATTTCTTTTTATCCAGAATTTTCCCCACATATTTTCCACCGTCCTCTTTCTCTGACCCTTAAAACAAAACAGGCTAATTTTGCTAATGTACCATCAAGATTCATAATGTAAAGATCGGCTATTAAGCTGTTTAAAGCTCATTTTCAAAAATTGTCTAAGTGGACTGGGAGTGAGTTTATGGTTGAACTACCGAGGCGCTCATTTTGACTTCATGTTAAAATAAAGAGTTAAAATAAAACCCACATACCTAAAATACCCTGACTTGTCCTAAATGTGTGCATATTTATTTCTAACATTATTATTTTATTCAAATAATAAAACACAAAGGACTTCGGGGGCAGCACGGTGGCGCAGTGGGTAGCACAATCTCCTCGCAGCAAGAAGGCCGTTGGTTCGAGTCCCGGCTGGGTCAGTTGGCATTTCTGTGTGGAGTTTGCATGTTTTCCTCGTGTTGTCGTGGGTTTTCTCCGGGTGCTCCGGTTTCCCCCACAAGTCCAAACACATGTGGTACAGGTAAATTGAGTAAAACTAAAATTGGCCGTAGTGTATGTCTGTGAATGAGTGTGTATGGATGTTTCCCAGCGATGGGTTGCAGCTGGAAGAGCATCTGCTGCGTAGAACTTATGCAGGATAAGTTGGTGCTGTGTCAAGCCCAGATTAATAAAGGGACTAAGTCGAAAAGAAAATGAATGAATGAATGAATGAAGAGTTCAGTCTAGTAACCCATACACATTTACAGGCTGTATTTATTACCAAAAAAACTGTATTTTTAGGGTAACGACTTCATAGAATATGACGACAGACATTCAAAGCTTAAAGGAGAAATTTAGCACTTAGCCAAGTTTACATTATTTTGTACATTGGTTTTCACTTTAATAAAAATATATTGAACAAACTCGATTATTATAACCATTTAGACTAAAGCGGCATGTTTTACTATAGATTTTAGACCTAGGGCGCCGCCATCTTGGAGTGTCTCTGTGTCTGACATCACAGGGTTGGTTCCGTTCCCTCAGCTGAACATATACAATGTAAGAAAAGGACACTGTAAAGCCTTATTTAACCCAATGCGTGAAGTTGTGGACGTGGAGCTACTGCAAATACAAGCATCAGCTGTGTGTCTAATATAAAAGTATATATATTTATTGTATTATTCTTTATTCCCCTTTTAATTACAGATAATTTGATGCGTTTTTCTCTACTCTATCGCTGCCTGACTGCCTGTCTGGGTTTCAACCATGATTGTAACGGACTGAACAAAGAGACTGCTTAATTTAACCCAATGCATGAAGTGCAGCACTGCACCAGCATGAGAGAGTGGACCACAGCACATCAAACGAAAGGTATAAACAAAAGAAAAATACACAACTTAAGACACTCAACTGTTGTATTTGCAGCAGCTCCACGTCCACAACTTCACGCATCGGGTTAAATTAGGCTTTACAGTCTCCTTTACTTCCACTGTATCTGTTCAGCTGAGGGAACGGAACCAACCCCGTGATGTCAGACACAGGGATATTCCAAGATGGCGGCGCCCTAGGTATTAAATCTATAGTAAAACATGACGTTTTCTGCTAAATGGTAATATTAATCGAGTTTGTTTAATGTATTTTCATTAAAGTGGACTCTTCATTTCCTCTTTAATTCTAATATCCTAATAGAAGCTTTTAAAGTAAGTATGACCTAGCAATATGACATCTTATATGAGAATGGTCAGAATTCAGTAAATTCAAGTAACTCTGGTGGTTCCAGTGTTAATATACAGTTGAAGTCAAAATTATTCACCCTTCTGTGAACTTTCCTTTTCAATTATTTCCCTAATGATGTTTGACAGATTCAGGAATTTTTCACAGTATTTCCTATAATATTTTTTCTTCTGGAGAAAGTCTTATTTGTTTATTTTTTAAACCATGTTTAGGTCAATATTATTAGCCCCATTAAGCAATATTTGTTTTCATTTGTCTACAGAATAAACCATCGTTATACAATAATTTGCCTAATTACCATAATTAAGCCTTTAAATGTCACTTTAAGCTGAATACTACCTTCTTAAAAAATATCTAGTCAAATATTATTTACTGTCATCATGGCAAAGATAAAATAAATCAAAACTATTATGAATTAAAACTATTATTCTCCAAATAAGGAAGCAAACTGTTTTAAATAGCATATCTGATCTGATTTCATACTAACGTCTGCACTCTTGTGAAGGGCTTCTGAAGAGCAAGGGCCCATATAATGATCTCTCCATCGTAACTCCCAGTAGCCAGAAGCCCCAGCACGGGACAGTGATCCATAGCCAGGATATCCTCGCTGTGCTGACAACCAGACTTCCAGGACAGGTTTGCTTTAATGTAGATGTCCTGTACTCACAGATACACTTCAGTAAACATCACATCTGCTGTGTCAGACCTCCATTAAAACCCATAGACGTCTTAAGGTGTGACCACAAAAGCACTACACACCCATTTGAATCGAACTGGAAAACATGTACATTAAGTGTGTCTGTTCTGGCTGAAAGCCTTTTTTGCTTTTACAGTATGTAGCCTTTGGTGTGTCTCACATACAAATCTGATATATTGTAGTATATGCAAATTACTTATGAGTAGGCCCACATGGAATCTGTGCGCGCAGAATTCCCGCAGATTTTTAGCCCATCATTAATTCTGTTTATTTACTTGAGTGAATGTGTGTAAATCTATAATTATTCAATTTTTTTTATTAATTTCAGTAATATTATTGACTAATATGAAAATGTTTATCTGATTTATGTACAATACAGTTTGTACAGTAATATTTTTTGTCTTTTATTAGATATATTATATGTGAGACCTGCTTTGTTTACTAAATAAAGTGGATCTAATTGGATATGCATTTAAAACATTAAATACAAGTTAAAAAGGCTATTTTTTATTTCATATTATAAGGTTTTAGTTATGATACTCCCAAAATAATTCTGCAGAAATCCGCAGATTTTTACCAAAGTTCTCAGCAGAAATAGCAAAAAACGTCTGCAGATTTCATTTGGCCCTACTTATGAGTTACTAGTTTATACTTGGAATTTACCTAAATAAAATGTCATATATGCAACATTTAAAAAAAAATCTATTTAAAACAAAATCACCATTTACAGTATACTTAATATTTATCCAACCACTGGAATTATAAAAATGTACATATATGTGTAAATATATTAGCTATAATTTCAAATATACAATCACCGGCCACTTTATTAGGTACACTTTACTAGTACCGGGCTGGACCTGCTTTTGCTTTCAGAACTGCCTTAATCCTTCATGGTATAGATTCAACAAGGTACTGGAAATATTCCTAAGAGATTTCGGTCAATATTGACATGATAGCATCACACAGTTGCTCCAGATTTGTCGGCTGCACATCCAATTATGGATATTTTATAATGGCCCATTAGAACCAATTGAGCATCTTGTCAACACCACAGCCTACCTGAGTATTGTTGCTGACCATGTCCATCACTTTATGACCACAGTGTCTCCATCTTCGGATGGCAGCAGGATAACGCACCATGTCGTAAAGCGCGAATCATCTCAGACTGGTTTCTTGAACATGACAATGAGTTCACTGTACTCAAATGGCCTCCACAGTCAGCAGATCTCAACCCAATAGAGCACCTTTGGGATGTGGTGGAATGGGAGATTGGCATCATGGATGTGCAGACCACAAATCTGCAGCAACTGCGTGATGCTATCATGTCAACATGGACCAAAATCTCAGAGGAATATTTCCAGTACCTTGTTGAAGGATTAAGGCAGATCTGAAGGCAAAAGTGGGTCCAACCCGGTACTAGTCAGGTGTACCTAATAAAGTGGCCATTGAGTGTACAGTATGTCCATATTTGTAATTCTAGCGGTTGGAAAAATATTTGAATCCAAATATGAACCTGTACATCATATATGTTTTTTTCATATACAGTATTTCCATGTATGCATCAGATTTCTGTATGGAGTGTTTAAGAGATACACGGCTCTTACGCTTGAAAATGCAATGCTGTACTGAGTGATCAGTCGACTCCAGCCTGTGGCCAGAAGCTGGTCATCATGATGACAGATGATCCCTGTGACTTCTTTGTTGGAGACCGGCTCTAGATTATGAAGATTGAGGCCATTCAGAAGGTTCCACACCTACAGCAATGAAAGATCACTGTTACTAATAGGCAGTCAGCAGCAAGGGGAGAAATATCTATATAAGGAATTGTTATATTTTTATATTTTTAGCTTTTTTAGACTTTAAATAAATTAAGTAATCAATTGAAAAATCATATATTAATACAGATGAATTTATAAATACAAATGAATGAATGAATGAATAGTTGATTAAAGACGTGTTAACCTTTCTTTGTCATTTACATTCTTTTTCAAATATTTCCCAAGTGCTGTTTAATGGACAGAAGATTTTTTTCAATATAATAGTTTTAATAATCTAAAAACATATATTTCCAAAGAGGACTAATAAAATTGACCTTAGCAGTATAATTTTTCCCCCTTTTTATTACAGCCAAATTTAAAGACAAAAGGCTTTATCCATGGAAAAATCCAATAGGAAATACTTTGAAAAGTTTCCTTGCTCTACTAAACATCATGTGGGAAATATTTTAAAAAGAATTTTGAAAAAAACACAGTAAAGCTAATCATGTCATATACTAGATATCAGTGTCGGGCAAGCTACTTGACAAATGTAGTGAGCTAATGTAACGACTGGGGTGGAGTGACAGATACAACAGAAGGTAAGATTCAATAAGCAGGTTTATTCAGCGTCAGGCAAGCAGTGGTCAAATCAGGTACAAACGAGTATATGCTGGCAAATCCAAAATCGTCGTAGTATAAACAGGCAACAGGTCACAAGGCAGGCGGCTAAACAGGATAACAGGGATGCAAGGCTAAGGTCTAACACGGAGAGACAAGACAAGGAACCGCGTTGTAAAGTCACACTAGGGTAAACAAGACTCGGCAACCAGGGTAAGAGAATGAGTGGTTTATGTATGGTATGTTATCAGTCTCTGACAGGGTTCAGCTGGTGTGTGCAATCAAGCAGATGAATGAGCATGGGTGTCTGGGAGCAGTGCATGTATGAAAATGTAGTCCTGGAAAATGCGGAAGTGTAGTCCTGGTGTTCGTGTGAGAACCAGCGATCTCTGGAAAGCGATCGCTGGTTGTGTGACAGCTAAGCTATTAGCTACTCTACTTAAAACGTAGCTTAACTACACTAAAGCTACCCCCTCGGAAATGTAGCAAGCTAAGCTAAAAGCTACATGGAAAAAGTAGCTTAGCTGCATTTAAGCTATTTTTACAATTTTTATTTTTTAAATCGAAGCAACTTAAATCCATATCTTAGTGATCAATAAAACTGTAAATGAAACAAATGAGGCATAATAGTTCAGTTGAATAATGTACTGTAATTAATGTGCTGTACTAAACAGAAACACATTATAGTACATAACAGCTAAAACAAAAATTCAGGTGTTACACATTTTAAATACTATAGTCATTTATAGTAAAGGACAATATTTTTGATAATATATATATATATATATATTGTAACAAGCATTATAGTGTTATATATACTAATGTATTTTTTATTTTTTGAGCACAGCATCAGATATTAAGTTATTGCATCTTAGCATGTACTTCTTGAGGTTTGGTCCCAAGGAATCCTGCGTCAGAAATAACTCCTCTACCTCAGTCATCTTTCCATCAAGCAAGTTTCACCAGAGGTAGCAGAAACGCACCAAAAAGTTTGTTGTCGAACACCGTAAAACAGGAAGAAGAAATCATCCTTCTCCCTATCATATGAGCTGCGTCCCAAATGGCACACTATACACTATGCACTCATGCACCAAGTACTTATGCACTTACACACTCAACAGGATAGTATATGTATGTAGTGTTGTCCTAAATGGCACACTAATGTTTTTTTACTAAGCGGAAATTCAAACCATTTCCCTGATGACGTTTAATGGTTGCCAAATCAATGAAATAAACAACCGAATTATCAAATAATACCTGCCGCAAGTATTGCCGCATTTACCATCGGGAGGTGCTATAATCCCTCTCGTGGGAGAATTTTGCTTTCACCATCCAAAATAAATAAAGTTATTTAACATGTGCGTCCGATAGCTCCACCCCTTCCGCTACGTAAGCAAACCTGCGGTCGTTGAGTGCGTGAAGTGTCCATCATTACACACTTCATTTTAGCGGCTGAATGAGTGCATCATCCGGGTAATTAAAGTGCACTTAATATTTTTAGAGTTTTCAGTGTGAACACACTACTTACACTATTTACACTATAAAATGGCGTAGAATAGTGCATAAGTATGCGATTTGGGACGCAGTTTTGGATTTATTTCCATCGGCTGGACACCGGCCTCACAGCTCAGTGAATGTCGGTGCCGTCACTTATTGATCCACGATCAGTAAATGTAGCTTGTGTGTACGCTACTGCGCTACTAAACTAATGAAATAGCTTCGTGACTAAAAAGCTATTTGATTTAGAAAGTAGCGACGCTATAGCCACGCAACTGAGAAATGTAGTTAAGCTAGTAGCGTCACTACTTGTAGATAAATATATACAGTATGTACTGTTAATTTACACAGCGATATTTGTTCAAATGTCACTTGCGTAATTTTACACACTTCATTCCAAAATCAATGTTAACAACTATGATTTCAACAAGTATTTCAGGATTTCGTGTAAGTATTGTTCTACTTTATCATGCATCATCTAACAAGACAGGTTTCTGTGCAATTAAATGGACTTTGTTTTTAACTTAAAATTGTGGTAATGTAGTGACAATGACATTTAGCCCTACAAATATCCAGGTTGGAGGAAAGTCCTTACCCCAAGTGGAGGAGTTCAAGTATCTTGGAGTTTTGTTCACAAGTGAGGGAAGGATGGAGCGTGAGATTGACAGGCGGATCGGTACAGCGGCAGCAGTAATGCGGTTGATGCACCGGTCCGTTGTGGTAAAGAAGGAGCTGAACCGAAAGGTAAACCTCTCGATTTACCGATCAATATACGTTCCTACTCTCACCTATGGTCATGAGCTTTGGGTCAAGACCGAAAGGACGAGATCTTGGATACAAGCGGCTGAAATAAGTTTCCTTCGCAGGGTAGCAGGGCGCACACCTATAGACAAGGTGTGGAGTTCTGTCACCCGGGAGGAGCTCAGAGTACAACCGCTGCTCCTCCACATCGAGAGAAGTCAGCTGAGGTGGCTCTGGCATCTGTTTCAGATGCCTCCTATATGCCTACCTAGGGAGGTGTTCAAGGAACGTCCCACCGGACACGCTGGAGGGACTATGTCTCTCGGATGGCCTGGGAACGCCTAGGGATCCCCCCGGAGGAGCTGGAGGAAGTGTCTGGGGAGAGGGAAGTCTGGAGTTCTCTCCTAAGACTGCTGCCCCCGCGACCCTGCCCCGGAAAAGCGACCGAAAAATGACATAACATTTAGCCCTGCATTTACAGCCATGCATTATACAGTCACTTGCTAATTTACTACTACAAAGCCCTGATCATCTGTCAAGGAAACTGAAAACCTTTGCCCTCCGATCACTACTAATGCATCTGTATGAGGATTTTTTGTACCCACACTTGCCTTGATAGTGCCATTGGTGGCTGCAGTAATCAGTCTGCGCTGGTGAACATCTAGAGCCATACAAGAAACCTCCTCATTACCGTGAGCGTTCCTGATCTCCATCCTCCTAATGCCTGTTTTCACATCCCACACAGTCAATGTGGAGTCAGCACAGGCTGTGATTACCTAGACAGAGATAACAATCAGTAATGTTCATCCACAAACCATCAACTAAACCCAATTTAAAGTTCAAGTCAAGTTGAGCTTTATTGCCATTCCACTACATGTGTTGGCATAACGTGGAATGAAATGACATGTCACGGGAACACGTTGCTACATAAATAAATATAAGCAAAGTCCCTTTAAGGCAAGTCATTTCACTCGGTGGCCATCTTTAAAACGTTTTACGTTTACGTTGTACGTTTTTACAGTAATATGGAGTGATTGTAACCAACCTGTTGAAGATGAGGATTATAGAGGGCGCAGGTGTACAGGTCAGACCTGCTTCTGGTTTCTGTCTTGTCCAGCTGCAGCAGGGCCACATACTCTCTACAGGTCACCAGCAGCACTGGATCTGAGCTCAGGTTGAGGAGAAGAGGGAAGCTGCCCTGCTCTGGACTAACACCCGCTTGGATATTGGGGAAATTCAGGTGGAGTGTTTTTACGCATTGCTGAGACGGAATATCCCAAATTTTCAGCACCTACAGAAAGAGAAAAGGGTCCATTAAGCTTTTTAATTTCATTGCATATAAAGTGTTTTTCACACTCGCTTCAAATGTTATCACTCAATTGAATGGGCGTTATCAGTGGTTATCAGCTGATAGATATGGGCCAGTAGGGGCCTTCTGCGCTTACTGGCAGGCTCAGAAGGCTGTTATCATCATGTTATCACCTATCTGTTTTCCATTTTGACATTTAGTAGGTGGAAAACTAACAGCATCTTTAGAGTAGCTGAAGATCTTGCCCAGAGCCTGGTGAATAACCACATCCACCACAGTGGTCTGGTGACTGCGCAGGACTGCGGTCGGGCGGGAGGTCACATATCGGTTCCACAGTCTGACAGCCGGACCCACTCCAGCAGTTACCAGCAGACCGAGAGAGCAGCTGAAGTCAAAACACTTCACTCCCTGCAAGAGGAGACAGGGAAAACAGGGTTTCAGATCGCAAAACTTGTAGGAAATCAATGCCTGTTTTACAGACGGGGAAATAAATATTGAACATGTCATGTTTATTCCTGGGAATATTATTTCTGAAGGAGCTGTTGAGATTGAATTGAACCAGATTTTGGTGAAAACCCAAACAAAACAAACTTAAAAATAAAGCAAAACAAATCTGAAAAATGAGTTGTGTGTAATAGCAATGAATTGACTCAAGGTGAAATTGCTGGACTACTCATATGTGTTTAATACTTTATATAAAAGGCTAACTTGGTGCTTAAAGACGCATCTTATATGGAGAATGAAGTCACATGTGTTGCTCAGGTGAGAGTTTCTCACAGATTTAAACAGGGTGTAAAACTCTTGATGGTTCTGTGGGTCTCGTCTATCAAATTTAAGCTTTATTTCGTATTCTCTATTGGATTTAAGTCAGGTGTTTGGGTGGGCCATTCTACAGCTTGACTTTCTTTCTCTGAAATCATTCAAGAATGTGTTTTGGATCATTAGCCCCTTTCACACAGTGATACTGGTAAATATCTGAAAAATTACCAGAACGACTTTACTGGTAAATTAACAAAAGCGCTGTTCACACAGGCAAGAACGTTACGGAATTTTTCCAGAAAAGACCAATCACACATCTATTCCAAAATACCGGTAAATTCTGACATCATTAACCAGAAATGAGCTCCAAAGGGCTGCGGTTGTATTTGTAAAGGCACTTTTATTCAGCAATCTTTAGCATTCATGCAGCTTATCCCAGAGACATCCAAATACAGAAGCGCAAACCGCAGTTAATTGCTTACACAATTGACTACATTACAAACTCTGTGGATGTATAAGTATTGTGAACAACTTCGATGAAATTATTTGAAGGAAAACTTTCGCATGTTGAGATGTACATAATATGCGGGGGGGTTGGATGGCGGGGGGTGTCGTTGGAAGGCGGAGGGGTTTCGCGGACGAAGGACGAAAGTGAAGAGCGGGGGGTTGTCGTTGACGAAAGTGAAGAGTGTTGGGGAGTTGCGAAAGAAAGTGAACAGCAGACAGGGGATGAAGGCGGTTGAGGAGGGGGATCGGTACAATCAGGTGCCGGATCAGATTTCAGAGGTGCCGTCTCCGGCGTGTTCCGGCACAAATTAAGCCCTGATTTTATCAATAATTTCTACACCGTTGGCATTAAGAATGAACATAGAAACATTATCTGACTAACATCTAGAAGCTAAATGTGTCAGAAAAAATATTCAAAGGCTTTTATTTTCATAAACAGTGCAGATGTGAATGCGTCTGAGTGTTCTGATTGGCTGGAGTAGACGTCTCACGTGAGCCCGTTCTAATAATGAACGCTCTCTTTCCCGCAATCTTCCTTCTGCATTTACACAGCACAGCACATTACAGGTAATGTTACAACTTCTCTTTCCGGAAAATTGCCTGAACGAATTTACCGGTATTTTCAAAGAGGGGCTTTTGTCTTGCTGAAATGTCCACCCTGATTTCATCTTCACCATTTTGCTAATGTCTTCAAATGTTATCACCTGATTATCAGTGGTTATCAGCTGCCAGATATGGGTCAGTAGGGTCCTTCTGCGCCTACTGGTAAGCTCAGAAGGCTGTTGTCATCCATCCAAATGATTAATAAGCTATACAAATAGAGAAGACTGCATATCCAGATCTGTTTTTACATTACTGTGACAATTGGGTTTAGGGTAGGCATAGACGTAAAATACAATTAATGGGAAATTTAATAAATTAGAATTTAATAATTCTGGTTAACTTCCGGCGGCGG